GCACCTCTGATGTGGATTTTCTGATTCTTCTAAGATGTAAATGACTGCCAACCTCAGTTGCAGGTCACTATTTTAGGGATTACCCATATTCTTCTCTTGTAAATGACAAACCATGGCACTACTTTTAAGAACACACACACACACACACACACACAAATTCCTGAGAAAGGGTGATTCACCGTAAAGCTAGCTATGATCTGAATGAATGGGGGAAACCCCCCCAAAACCCCAAAACTCATTCAGATCCAGTTTGCTTCATTGAATTTACAGCCTTTTTTTTTTTAACTTCTTAATTTCAGTCATATTTTGCTTTCTGTGAGCAAGTACTGAGTCCTGATTTTTCTGAAGAACTCTGCACATCATTAGCATCGCTTACTCTTTTTGTACTTCCTTGTCTTTAGCTATTTTATACTATGGGACATATATGATACTTGTTATGGCACCTTCTGTGTGCAGGCTCAGAAAAATCCTTCTCACCAGCTTCCACAGAGTGCAATCTGCTATCACTGGTCCAAGTGGTGGCATGTGGTGGCATGTGGTGGCAGTGGGGAGAAAAGATGGCAAGCTGCCAGCGACAAGTCCCGTGGGAGCAGTTCCATACACCTAGCTCTTCCATTTTATAGAGTATCCACTTTATTCTTACAATGCTCCAGAAGTACAGAGGCATTTTGATACCAAATGTTCCTTATGCCTTTCCCTCGGTGAACTGACTGGATGTGCAGTCCATGAAACTCAGGTTTAGAGCACGTGGTGCAGTGACAGCTCTCAAATGAAATGTGTGTTGTGGCAGGACTTTCACTTCTGAATAATCATTCATCAGACAGAGTAAGTGTCAGACCTCATGACTGTTTTAGCAGCTTATTACTTCTATCAATGCATATAGTAGTAAGGGAATATTTTTTTTTGCCCCTCAAGCGTTAAGAGGGAAAGCAAAATTGACTTGGGAAATAGCTCACGTATATGGATGTTAAATATTAACATGATACACTTGATTTAGGAATCTTTGGGTATTTCTAACATTTTGTTATAGTCCAACAGATTCCGGAAAGTTTACAAACGGCATTTCTCAGCGGAAATAAAAATTATTCTGCCTCTGCAGCAAGGGTAAATCTGGTTTTCTAATGTTAATGTCACATTTCAGTAAATAAGAGATTTCTGAAGAGTCTTTTTTCATTGTTTCAGCATATTATCAGTTTTCATTGAGTGTTTTTTAGCATGTCTTTGCACACCATTAATTACTGCTTGCAATGTATTTTATCACGTAATCTGCACCAACACAGAAAACCATAATAATAAAACCATAGAAACACAGAATGGCCTGGTTGAAAAGGCCCTTAAAGATCACACCTTCCACCAGACCAGGTGGCTAAAAGCCCCATCCATTGCCTTGAACACCTCCAGGGATGTGGCATCTGCAGCTTCTCTGGGCAACCTGCTCCAGTGCCTCACGACCCTCACAGTAAAGAATTTCTTCCTAATACCTAATCTAAACCTAGTCTCTTTCAGCTTGAAGCCATTCCCCCTTGTCCTGTCACTTTATGCCCTTTCAGAAAGTCCCTCTCCATCATACTGGGGAAATAACTGGGGAAAAATGAGAAATTAGAGAGCGAGAAACGTTGAACTTGTTGGAGCTGCCTCCAACAGCAAAAAAAAAAAAAGAGGGAAAGAGAAGTCATGGAGTTCAGCACAGGGCTTTCCAGTTCCAAATCCCCCAAATTAGGGGAGCAGTCGGACGGGGACCAGGGCAGTGCAGTACCTCATCCCCCCACCGGAGGGAGACACCACCGCCGGCCCCTCTGCAAGCCCCAGGCCCATCACTGCATCATCATCACTCGCTTTGCAGCAACACGAAGGCTTCGAGCACGAAGCCTTTGCACTCACTCACAGCTAAAAAAACCAGCCCAATAAAAATTATCAAATAATCTGCCTAAGAGGATCCTAAAGACACGGGAAGGATTTTGCTGGGTAACGGTGAAATTTCATGAGGCTATTCCGAGTTTTAGTGTGCATGCAAAGCCTTGAAGAGAGTCGTGTGAATAACACCAGAAAGGTCTAAGCTTTTTAGTTCCACGGAAGTGGAAAATCCCATTTCGGATTTCTGCGCTCGTAAGTCTGCTCATAAATAGGAAAGAGGGGAATGAAGAGTTTTGGTTTTAAAACGACTAAAGTGCTGTCTGACTGAAATACAAGTGGGATGTAACACTTAAGTAATGACTGTTTTGGTGTCAAGTTAAGCCCTGCAATACATGTATAGAGATCTTACTAAATGAGTAACAGCAGGGTCTGCCCTCTATCTAGTAATAAAAAGCAGAAAGAAAACAAAAATCTGTGGTCATCACCTTCTAAAGTTAATAAAAACAACCTATGAGAAAATGTATAGTAAAACACTTCATTATAAGAAATATTCCATTAAAATAATGTGATTCAACTAGTCTTTCTTGAGATTTTTCTTGACATTCTTAAACTGATTTTATTTATGAAAGTAAGCATCTCTGTATTTAAAGGTGCTAAGAGCTCACGTTCTTGCAAGTTTACTCAGTACAGCTGTTGAACTCTTAGTTCTTCTTCCATTACTCTGAGGAAAATTAAATACTGCAGATGTTATCCTTTCTAATGCCATATAGACAGAATCAGTTCCTCATTTGCAAGTTATTTATTTTTTCCTACTGAGCTTCAAGGCAATCATGATCATTAGATAATGCTGGGGTTAAATAAACATGACCTAAAGTGATCACGAGTCAGACGTCACTTGAAAGAGATATTCTCATATCAATAAGTGGAAATCCAGGAACTGCACTTGAAATATTTCAAAAAAATCCCCTCTCTTCAGAAGCAAACATCTTAAAAACACAAATGAAAAGGCAGAAATATACCTGAAATTAAAATATTTCCTATCTCCGTGATATATTTCAACTATATAGGCTGCCTTGCCAGGAGTTTAAAGCTGCTAATGGTCATAGACAATCAATAGGTTAAAGCCCATGAATTAAAGGAAAAACCCCCAAAATGAAAATCACAACTACAAAAAAATGGACAGAAAAAAATTGAGAAAAATAAATGAGTACTCTGAAAGTTTTATATTTACCCATTCCAGTTTCACATGTCCCCTCTCTCTCCACAGTAACACCCATAGGTAAGGAGATGAACTGCCTGGATCCTGCACATGCACTGGCAGCATTTCTGCAGAGTGCAGCCCAGACAAGCCCACCCTGCCAGGAATTCCCCTAAGGACAACTGCAAGAAACTTAAGAAGATTTGCATCCATTCATAAAAGATCACACTGCTTAAGATGAAGCCAGCGTGGGACAGCTTACAGGAACTTGGGGTACTTTCAGAGCTATTGCCTAATTTCTCCAGAGCTCCAAGCCTATGCAATTCCCACTTCTTACTGGAAAGGGGAGCACTGAACACCAAGTGTCTCACTGCTGGCCCTCATGGCAAGTAGATCACTCACTTCAGAGCAATCCCTGCAAACCAGTCATTACTGCCTGACTGTTTCACATTACTAAGCTTTCCTCACCTCATGAAACCGCTCATCCTCCCATCCCATAAAAAGGGGAAAAATATGTCTTAAAATCCTTTTGCAGAGAACTATTGCCAAAGAGTATCTGAAACTTAAGAATGCTCTCTGCACCATGATCTAGTACAAAACCCAACTTCACTGCTCTTATCCCTTGATGTAAATACCCTGTTACCACCACCAACCTCTCTGATGCTTCCCATGCTTCTTGCAATTATCCTCCCAGTCTATCACTCCAATCTGGGTGTTTCCTCAGGCTTGTACATGATAAAGGTCCACTGTATTCAACAGAAACAGTCCTCCACCTATCCCACTACCCCATTCCAGAGTCTTCCCCCAGATTAAACCTCAGGAAATCTGAGCATCTAAGCACCAGTTGTTGTTATAACACAATACTAACGTCCCACAGCCAGCTTGTCCAAAGTAGAGACTTTTTAACAATGAGAAAAGAGAAACATCATGAAATTAAAAATAATTAGAAAATCATGCATCTTTATTCCTCTCGTGGATAGCACCAGCATCTTAAGAAACACTGCATATACTGATAGCAAGAAAAGTACATCTCAAATAGTTTTTATTTAAATACTGCAAGATATTTGAGAGGAATAATGTTACCAGTAAAACATGAAAATCTGTATTATAGCTTTTCAAAATAAAGTCTTCTACAACTCTAGACCATGAGGAGTTTTTCAGAGCTACAAGTGGGAGCTGGGAACAGTTGTCTGTTTCAGAACGCATCTTTTATCACAAGTCATTCAAAATTTCAAAGAGTATCTGAGATCTTTTAGTAATGAAAAACTACACTAGGGAAGAACACTTTCCATAGTTATGTTTAAAGAGAAGGGAGTGTGGCACAACAGCCAGGGATAAAAACAGCTAAAGCCCACTTTTATCTGTCATGATCATCAGGTATTTTTATTTCGTACTTTTTCATTCATAGTAAATGTACTTATTACTGGCTTTCTGTTTTGTTTTCTTTCTCAGACATTATATAACAGGAATTAAGGAATCAGAGCCCTTTGAAGCACCCTTAGCACCTAAGAAGACTCTTTCACCAGGTTCTTATATACAAACAGTGAAAGAAAAGATGCATGAAACCGAGAAAGCTGCACAATCCTCCTCCCCAGTCAAATGTTTCTGTCCCTGCTACCTGTGTTTTGGGTCATGGTCAGCAAAGTTTTAGCTACTTCAGCTTTGCACATCTTTAGTGGTTTTTTCTTTTAAGACATATTTCACTACCAACACGTACAAAAGCAGCTACCCAAAGCTGAATGGAGGTTTTATCCTGAACTGTTGTACTGGTCCTTTAACTTTTTATGACTCATACTTTAAGTATTTGGGAATTCCCCTCTAAATATGAGTTTGACACACTCGCATTATAGAAAGTTATTTTATTCAAAAAGTAACAAAATGCAACATTCATGCAATACCCAGGACTATATTTAACACCACACAATTGGTCTTTTTTTTTTTTTTGCAATAAGGCTTCTAATTAAAGACAGATTTTAAAAAAAAAATCAAGAACAACACTGAATAGCAGAAGTAGCAGCATTGAAACAGACAATCACAATGTTACACACCCAAGCAAGTCAGGAATATTTTTTTTAAACTATTCAAACAATGTTAGGCTGTTTATCTTCTCCCCTGGACCCCCCAGTTGCATTAAAGAGTATACGGCTTCTCACTTACCTGTGTGCTGAAGTGCCTTCTTGGTGGGCTGACTACTCATCAGGGATCACCTGACCGAAGCCTGGAAAAAAATTAAAATAAAATCAGCTGACCACCCTTGCTCACTGGCTTCCAGCTTAAATACTCCTCTCCACAGCACTTTGTCATGTGAGGCAGGACAGAACCAGCTGTCATTGCTTCAGAAAAAGGGAAACGGGCCCCTCCGTTTCCACCTCCTTCCTTCCTCCTCTCTCACTCTTTCCTATCTGTCCCTGCCTCCGACCTCCTCCCTTTCTCATTCTTCCACTCTGCTCATTCACTGCCCGCCCGGCTGGGGTCTCCCAGGGGAAGCCGCATTCCACAACGTACAAGCATTTCCCCTGCATCTCGAGGTTTCTCAACAAGCTGCCTACACACTTCTACTGGGAAAAAAAGAAAAAAAAAGAAAAAAAAAAAGAAAAATTATAAATCAGAGAGAAACAGAGAAAAGGCACCACATTCCACAACCCTCAGTCAGCCCTGGCAGACTGCGAGGCATTTTCAGTCACACAGCACAAAATGCATTAGTCAGAGCTGAAAGACCACACACTTTGTACCACTACCATGCTTAACACAGAATGGTCTGAGCAGAGAGCTACAGGAAAAAGGAAAGGAGGGGTTCCTATCGGTGCTTCCATTTCGCACGGGGCAGCCACCTAAATGTATGAAAAATTCGCAGGAAAAGGCCCAAAAGTTGGCATTCCCAGCAGGAACAGCACGAGTGTCGGCGGCAGGGAAAGCTCTCTCTGCTCACGGAGCGCGACCTTTGCCGAGAGGACTCCCCCTCCAGCAGAATGTGTCATTCCAAAGACTGCAAGACATTATCTAAATCAGAACTTCTATCTCCCCGATGGTTTGTTCATAGGAAATGCAAGCCTAGAAAAAGTGAAAGTAATACAGCATGATTCAGATTCCCCGAAACCACACACACTTTCAATTCAAACTTCTCTCTTCTTCGCTGCTCCTTAATAGTCCTGCAGCTACATCCATCTACGGAGTTTTGTTTCCTCTACTTACGCAGTTTCAACCCTCCGTGTACGCGGGGAATCTGATCGGCCAGAAGTGAGAAGAGCGTGAAAAACCCTCCGTCCCTAATCCAAGTGACCTAATCGCTCATCTATCTGCTCACTGCTTCCGCCCCCCACACGCACTTATCACATCGCCTGAAGGCGTTCTAGGAGTACGGGTAACAGCCTAGGAGAAAACACCCCTTTTTAAATCACATCAGACAGAGAGAAAGAGGGAGCCCACTGTGCTGGACCACATCCTTCTGTCCACTGAGAACAGCACCACGGAGTCCCCACCCCGAATTCCCCGATCTGCACGGGGACCGTCCCTTAAACACCCCGACCAGACTCAGCGGCTTAAGTCAGAGTCAGAAAAGTATCGGGAGGCGGGGGGGAAGACGGGGGAGAACCCTTAACTGCCTGCACTGGAATTTCTCCTTAGGAAAGTCCATGCTTTAATGAAAGACTGATACTAGATACCACAAAGAAACTTTTATTTCTGTAAGCACATGACTCAGATACATTTTCTGTGTGGGTTATGTGGTTATGTTATGTTTCATCTTAAAAAACTGTTTCAGAGAGACCTTTAAACATTAGTTTTAAGAGAAACTTGATGTGTTTATGTACAGGGAGTGTTTTTAAGCTGCCTTTTATTGCACAATGCTATATACAGCAGAGACACTAATGTCTGTTTTCATTATAGATATAATTTGCATCTAATACTAAACACAATAATCTGTAAAAATATTTATTTTAAATTACATCCCTAAATAGTTCCCAGGAAAGTAAACAAACTGAACCCTTCAGCAAAACCAGATCCTCTTAGTTATAATATTATTATTCGTCCTCTTCCCTCATTCTCTTGATTTTGAAAATACGTTTACTCACTGTGTTATTGACTTAGATGCATTAGTTTATAAAACAAATGGTAGCTGCTGCTGTGTGGTATTTCAGCAGGGGAAGGCTGTCCAGAACTGCCTCGGAGACTGAACACTGTCGCCATTATAACAAAAGCATTAAAATGAATAATTCATGAGCAGAGGAAGTACCCTACTATTAAAAGGCACCGACTATTTCATGAATTGTCCAAAAGCTACCCCTTTTACTGCCCAGTTCCTCTAACTACTTAATTATTCTTCATTTTTCTAAAATAGCATCAAGTAGTAATTAACAGAAACACATGGACCAGTGGTAGGAGACTTTCCTGAGGAGTAAGAAATGAAAGCCAACAAGTGAGCCAGAGAGAGGAAAAAGAAAAAGGTGATTATATTTGATCTTGGATATATTAAGGAAACGAGACTTCAAACTTCAAGAGGCTTTTCCAAATTGTGCTTTCAAATCCTGAAAGGGAAGACCATCGATAAATGCAAAAACAAAGGCACTCAGTTGGTCCTTTATCTGGTGCCTTCCTTTTCAGGATCCCAAGGCATAATGACAACACTCAGGAACTGAAAAGCCTCATAACAGAGTTCTTACAGAACTTTTCTCCTGTTTATAGGTGCAGAAAATAAGGCCCCAAGAAGACTAAGTTATTTTCTCCAAATCATACAAGGAGGCTTGGAGACTGAGGCAAGAGCTTCATCCCTCGGTTACCAGTCCTGTGCCCAATAAAAAGAGCAACTTCCTTGCTTTATACTAACAAGCATCACCGGGTTCAACAGTCCTGTGAGTTTTAACCTAATAAAATGAACAGTGGTGCACAAGCATTTTCTGCAGGGTTAGAGAAATTATTCGAACCATTAACTCAACATTACACTAGAAAAATTTACAAACTTACGTTTTGAACAACATATTTAAAGGAATTTGACCTAGAATAGCAAAGTACATCTGCTCATATTTCACTGCTACAGGAGACAGACATACTGTGCCTGGAAAGAGATTTATTTATAATATCCGCTTTCAAACTTTTCAAGACATCAAAAATTGGTACACTAACATCAATAAACTTATCAGATTTCATTTGAATCAACATCTAGTTCTTAAAAATTCAAGAAATTGTATCTCAAAGACATTTTGCTCAAGGGACAGTATTCCATAATGTTGAGCAAAAGCCATGCTAAGGATCCTTACTTACATCCTTACTCACTTCTAGGTGTCCTACTCTCTGGGATAAACTCGAACACGATTCTTATTCCAAGGCTCTCATTGCAACAAGTTCACCAATTATGTGGTAGAAAGCCTGTTAATACTGAGATGCAAAACCATATCCAAGGTAGAACATTATGGATGGAATGAAAGCATTAGGTGTAACTTTTCAAGACCAGACACTGGCGCTGGTCAACTTTTTGATGCTCCTGGGATTTTTATTTTTAAACCAGTCGGCTTCTTCGCAGAACCTTGGTAGCCACTTTTCTGATTGTGACTTTCAAGTTTCTAATTCTCAAAAGAACCTGTTTATTTTTTTTATTCCAATAGTATCTATTTGAGAAAGATTCTCTCTTAAACTGCTATTAGATGGATGACTTTTGTTCTGCCAAAAATTTGCCCTTCAGTCAACTCAGAGCTGCTCCCACAGCAAGTCCTTGCAGGAACCGGGAAATGCTCTTTAACAATTAGAACAATCTGTACAGTTAACCATATTTTTAGTCTGCAGCCCCCAAGGAACTGTGAGGAGAACTGAACTACAGAACAAATATAAAAGAACCCACAACTGGTTGTTAAATATAATTAATACAGCCCAGCTCACAGCAAGCAGGTTTATTGTAACTAATCGACTATTTCAGTACAAATGACCATTAATGGTTTGATAACTTGTGGCAGGAAGAAAGAGGAGGAAAAACCACAAAGTACTTATGATAACTATTCCAAAGATGGAAGAAGTTCACTTTTTTAAAACTGCACCCAAAAAAAGCAGTTAAATAAAGAAGAAATGTTACGAACACTTCAAAATTATCTTCTTCAAAATATTTATCTTGAGTCAACTTTACAGGAGAAATTCACCGTTGATGTAAGCCAGTATTAGTGTGTTCACCAAACTGGCAACCTCCATCAGGGCATCCAGACTACTGAGTCACTACCTAAACACAAATGTTCCAGAGAACAAACAGCATCAAATAAACTATTTCAGAGAAAACAATGCCAGAAGTGAGCTTAGCACTAATTCTACTTGCAGGTAGGTGAACACGCCCCCCCCAACCAAACCAATAAGGAAAACAAAAATGTTAATGTCCATAAGCAGAGCAAAATTTTGAAATGCAAGGAATTTAATTAACATTTTGCTGCTTAGACAAGCCAGAAAAGCTGAAGGAGAAGAGAGGAGACTTTAGTACAGTACTAACAATCAGATTCACACAGTGTTCAATATGCACAACTGTCTCAAAACTACATTAAGGCCACAAGCAAAAATGAATGGAATTACATATAAATACACATCAAAGTAACGGGTAAGGTAACAGTCAAGTGAAAAATAAAAAATTTAAATACATCAGAGGGGAAAGAACTGTCCAAGTATCCAAAAATAATCCACCTGACTGCAGTGTGCCAAAGATCTGGTCAGACAAAATGTACAAATCTACATCCAGGAACTTAGATAAGTTTAGAAAGTTTTGATATTTGTTTTGCCTCCAGTGAGTAGACTTATGTTCCAGAGAGCAGTGGTGTTCTGCCACAATAGCTGTTGTTTACTGGTATCAGCAAGCACCAGAGTCATGTACACTGTGCAATGCAGCACAGAAACAGGAACTATTCACAGACCTTTCAGCACTTCAGAGGAACGGCAGAACTATTAACTATGGCTTTTAGAATAAAAAATAATTTTAGCCATTCATATGAATTAATGTAATAAATCAAAAATAACTTTTAGAAGACATTTTGAGGGCTAAATAAACAGAGGCAGATGGAACAGTAGTGAAGGACAGTAGAACAGTCATTTTCACCTTCTTTATTGTTAAAGAAATACAATAGAGGACGTGTCTCAACACAACTGCAAGATCACAGAATAGCTGAGGTTGGAAGAGAGCTCTGGAGGTTGTCTGGTCCAACCCCCCCTGCTGAAGCAGGGCCACCTACAGACCATTCCCCAGGAACATCTCCGGAC